GGGGAGAAGATATAACAACTATACCTTTTTTCTTTTTTTTTTTTAATTTTCATTTTGTCAATATACAATGTATATGATTATTATGGCCCATCACCGACACCTCCCTCCCTCCTCCCTCTCTCCCCTTCCCCCCAAGAATGTCCTTTCCGTTTGCTTGTTGTAACAACTTCAAAAAGGTATAGTTGTTATATCTTCTCCCCCCCCCCCCGGGTATTTTTTTCTTTTTTTTGTTTCTTGGGGGGGTGTTTTTTTTCTTTTTTTTTTCATTAAATTTTTATTTTGTCAATATACAATGTATATGATTATTATGGCCCATCACCAACACCTCCCTCCCTCCTCCCTCTCTCCCCTTCCCCCCAAGAATGTCCTTTCCGTTTGCTTGTTGTAACAACTTCAAAAAGGTATAGTTGTTATATCTTCTTCCCCCCCCCCCCCGGTTTTTTTTTTGTGGGTTTGGGGGGGAATTAATTTGTTTTTTTTTTAGCTCCCTCCGATGAGTGAGAACATGTGGTATTTCTTTTTCTCTGCCTGACTCGTTTCACTCAATATTATTCTCTCAAGGTCCATCCATGTTGTTGCAAATGGCAGTATTTCATTCGTTTTTATAGCTGAGTAATATTCCATTGTGTATATATACCACATTTTCCGTATCCACTCATCCGATGATGGACATTTGGGCTGATTCCAACTCTTGGCTATTGTAAAGAGTGTTGTTGCAGAGCAGTTGGGGGAGGGCAGGAGGGGAAGGAGGAGGGAAATAAGATGAGAGGAAGAAGAAGGGGGCATGGTCAAGGCCCGTGGCACCCCCCTCATTCTAACAGGGGAGCCCAGGGGGCTTCTGATAGTGGCCTGGCCATGGCTTGGCTGGATGTGGACTTCTAGGGGGTACGGCTGAGGCCCTCAGCCACCCCACCCCTGGCTTGGGAGCATGGGGCAATTCCAGCAGCGTCTCAGTGGTCCTCACTGGGCCTGATGTGGACATTGGGTGGTGTGGCAGAGGACCTTGGTCCCCAACCACCCCAGCTTGGGAGCCTGGGGTGCTTCCAGCAGCAGCCTGGTGCTCGTTGCTGGGCTGGATGCAGATGTTGGGGGGGATGTGCCTGTGGCCCTTGAGAGCCCAGGGAGCTCCTGACAGTGGCCTGGTGGTCATCACTGTGTTTGATGCAGATGTTGGGGGTGTGTGGCTGAAGCCCTTGGCATTCCCCCACCCTGGCTTGGGAGCCTGGGGCACTTCTGCCAGTGGCCCGGTGGTTGTTGCTGGGCTGGACAC